AACCCTTTACAACAAGAACCCTTTACCACAATAACCTTTTACCATAAGAACCCTTTAAAACAAGAACCCTTTACAACAAGAACCCTTTACCACAAGAACCCTCTTTAAGGACCATTACATTGAGAAACAGAGAAAAGTCTGTTCCATCAGTTAAAAAAACGTTTGTGAGAGGATGGATTTACTTTAAAGTTTATATTTTGAAAATGTTTTAAAAAATGACACCCTTTAAAGCGAGAGTGATAATGGAGACAGAGATTAGATAAAATCAGCTAGAAAACATGAATTAAAGCTCCTACGAGGAACTTTGTCTGTGGACAAAAGTGATGTCTCCTCTGTCACGTGTTGTAAAAACCTCATTTCAGACAATATGTGCATTTGTTTTGGAAGAAGTGAAAAAAAACACCAAGTAAACTGAGACACCTCAGCTCTCTTCAGTTTTTACTGTAAAGGAATAACATGACGCTGCATCAGTTTACATCCTCTCCTCAGACTCTTCTCCAAATACCAACAGAGATTGTACCAAACCAAGACGGGGGGGGGTTCAGAGATCCAAATACTTAAATTAATCATATAGAAATAAAGATAAAATATGAACCGTTTCTGTTGGTAAAGACAATCTTATATTATAACTGAATTAACATTGATATACTTATACAGGTACAAGAAATCCATACTTCCCCCTCCTCTTGTGGGCAAATGGAACATCCCACCTGAGACCATGCACGACATGGATTTGGTGAGGACCAGACTCAGCAGCAATATTAAAATAATAACATTTCACAACCAGTTCAAAACTCCTTGTAGGGTGTAATACATGTGTGATATTTAATAAAGTAAAGAATATAAAATAAATATTTTCCTCATATAATTTGTATTTCTTCTGTTCATAGGCTTGGGGCACACAAGAACATTTTCAACTTTAACACATTTTATAAACGTGAGAATGTTAAATGCTTCTTTTAATAATGTCATAGAAGGAACGTGACAGATTAAAGAACCATGTTCAGATGAAAATGTTCTTAGCAGTCACAGAGCTACAACCAATCAAAGCGACAGAACACGTAAACAGATCTAATTGGATGCTCCTCTGTCAGTCACTGTGTCAAAACCCTCCTATTTCAGGTGAATGGTTGTGATTGGCCTGAAGTCTTTAATCAGAGGTGATGTCATCAGTGAGAATAATTTATTGAGCATTAACAGTGGTGAAGAAGCAGATTCATATCTCCATTAATATTTCATCAATTACTTCTCTTCATTGATAATAACTGACATTTATCTTCCTGCACGGGTCAGTGTTGGTCCCGTCTTTTGGCGTCTGTCCTGGCGACTTCCTGAGCTTTCATCCAACTGAAGGTTTGTTGCCAAGTTACGGTGGTTCAGCTCTGGAAGCGTCTTCTCCCTGCCGGCCAACCGGCTCTGCAGCCAACATTAAAACCAAATGCACCCGAGGGTTCTCCAAACACTTCCTGCTCCTGCATCCAGACACCGAGGGGGACCTTTAGTCAGCTTTCAGCTGAGGACAGTGTCCTCCTCATGTGGACCTGCTCCGACAGGGTCGCGCCTCAATCACAGCTTTGTGTTGAGAGTCAGGAGGAAGAAAACGGACCTGGTGTCTTTTAAACGGAGCTGGCAGCGAGTGGACATCACGCCGGGTCTTTATCCTCAGAGGACGACTGACTCTGCAGCCGACAGCGGAGATGAAGACTCAAGCTGAGACGAAACAAACAAACTCTTTACACGTCCACCTCTTTGTTTCCACATGACAAACTCGCCTTTTCAGTTTTGCACCGATGTTTCCTCTCTGTTGGTTTAACGTTTGTCATAGAGTAAAGACAGTGTCAGGGCGGTTGATCAGCCGTCTGCCGAGCGTCTAGGAAACTGGAGCGGCAACAAAAAGGTTTACGTCTCAGAGAAACATGAAAAATGTTACGTTTCTGAGAAACAAGTCAGCAGATGAATGAATAGATGAATGAATGAATGACAGATTTAAAGAGAGAATGAGTGAACAAATTAATGAGTGAATGAATAAAGATAATAATAATAATCTTTTTCTGTATGTCTGTGGAGATTTTCAGTCATCAGGTCTACAGGTCTGTATCCAACTGCTAGAAAAATAGATCAACTGGACTCGGATGAGTTTCTTGAAGACGTTTCACTTCTCATCCAAGAGGCTTCTTCAGTTCTAACTGATACTGGGAGTCCAGGTATTGTAGAGTCATTAAGAGTCTTTGAGATATGACTCAACCAAAAGCTGGGTACAGGC